AAGATCTCCTGTATGGAGAATGAGTGCAGGGAAATCGTCCCAGAGGGAGACGACAGCTGTGATATAAGGATATCTGCTAGCATGATCTGATGGCCTCAGGAAGGGATCTCAACCAATGGGAAACCCTGACATCTGAGTGTTTAGCCTGGAGGCAGGCATTGCATCACAGTCTCTCCCAATTTGAAGAGACCCTTGTCCAGCAGGCCGAGGCAAAGAGGCAGTCCCAAAAGCAGCAAAATCAGGGAGCTGGACAGGGGACAGATTGTATTTGTCTTCAGTGTGGAAGGGAGTGTCACTCTCAAATTGGTCTTCTCAGCCACACTAGATGCTCTTCCAAATCCTCCATACAGAGACGTTACCATAGTCTTTCGAGACTGAAGGATGCCTAATCTAATCTAATTTAATCTAATCTATTTCTTTTTTTAAAAAAAACCATCACTTCTAGACCCACTCAACTTCCCTCTCATGCACACTCCACCTTATTCCCAGCTGTATGTCTCCCCTACAGGAGATCCTCCCTTCCCAATCCCACACCATGCCACATGACGACTCCTCTTCCCCACATGGACAAAAAGCATCCCACTATGCACTCCCCACATCCCTTCCATGCCCCACATGCCCGACAGCCCTAACCAATCCCTCACACCATTTATATTTTATAACATGCCCCCACACAACCCACCCCTCAATAGAGGGGTTAAAATCAGTTAAATGTGTTCCTAGTTAACTCCAACACTTGAGTCCATCTCTGTATTTCTGGAGCTGGTGGACAATGTATACCTCTTCCGGCATGGATTCATACACTGGCTTGGAACTATTTTTCCCACATCTCCTGATGTGACATAGGCAGGTATAGGCACCAATTGGTGCTTCCCACAAGGCTGTGCTGGGGATGAATGTTGGTGCAATTATAAGATCCTTCTGCACCCAACCAGCCCTTTTTACTTTGAGTTAACCTGCCTACCCTGGGTCCAGTGTGGCTGAGGTGGTTGCTTCAGGGCCAGATAGGAATTTTGGGTCTGTCTCACCTGATTGGCATATAAAAGGTGGGCAGACGTATTTTTGCCTATCGTACACTGTTTATCCATGGGATTCCGTGGGCTATTCTAGATTTGAGTCACATTTAAATAGATCAAACTGTCAGGTAGTGTGGAAGAGAAGGTGAGTTTCAGTGAGCTCCCAAAAAGCACATGGGGTCCTGCTGCACCCAGCATCACAGCAACCAGGATCTAGCATTTCACGTGCTGGGATGAGGGCTGAATAAGGTATAGTCCCATTCATTGCATGTCTTAGTTCTAGACAATTGGATGGATGGCAAATAGGGAAGTTTTTTCTTCCCAATCTGTGGCCAGCTGGGTACGAGCTGTTCAGGGGACAGCTCTGACCAGGGGCTTGGGACTCACCCACTTAGGATTGGAGAGGGGGTAAGATATACCCCTAGAGCCTGCCCCAGGGATCCACATGGCATCCAGGCCCCTCTGCAGGATGAGAGTGAAGTTTAAAAGCAATAAAGTGTGGCCCTAGTTAACTCCAACACCTCTGTCCATCTCTTTATTTTGGGAGTGAGTAGGCAGAGATTAAATAGCAGTGGTGGAGGAAAACATTGAATATTAATTTCATGAACTTTAAAATATCATGTGAATAAATCTACAGTGTTTTGGAAATCCATAGTATTACTGTATATTCCAAAGTGTCAATAGTTAACAAGGGACCACAGTGGAATATTTTAACTACAAAAATTCTCAAACGCTTTCCAGACAGTTTACATGTCTCCTCTACATTTTCTCTTTTGCATTCTTTTTCAACAGCTCCACAGTTCATCCCAAAAGCAGTCTTGACTGCCACTAGCAAAGTTCCATCTCCCACCTCTCCAAATGTAGGATATCCACAAGAATAATCACAGGCCTGACACTATACTGATTTCCTACTGATTCTGCCTCTTATCACACAAGAGGTGAATTCCGAGACAGGGCTCACATGATCAGCATTGCTGATTTATATTAAAAAAATCAAACTAGTGGCAATCCCATTTGGACATAAGAAAAAAAGCTCTCTTCTTTCTCTTGATCCTGAAGGATTGAGATCCAACGGTTGGACCCTTATAAATTTTAAACAGAAGTCTCCAAGAGCTGCAGATGGAGATGGTATTTGTAACAATCTGTGACAGATTGTTACCACTGATCATACAGGTAATTCATTAATTAATCAATTAGTGTGTGTTTTTCTGTGAATGGAATCACTAGCTAATTGATCTATGTGGTTTTTGGCTGAAAAAAAATCTAGATCTATATAAGGCTTGGACACAGACAGATAGAGGTAAAGGCAGAAGCAGATTTTCCTTAGAGCTGCCATTTGGTGTTGTCAGAATTAGAGAGTTAGTCTGGGTTAGGAGTGAGAATGAATGTAGCCTGTTTTGTGAAGAGGTTGTGAATAACAGTGAGGTCTTGTTAGTACTTGTTTTAAACCAATCATCTATTGATGTATAAAGTAGAGACAGTGCTTACATTTTAAAGAAGTATAGTCTTATGGTTCTAGACTGAAGAAATTGGCAGCTTGAAATGTTCATATATTGTATCTTTACCTGTTCACTGGACCTTTTTTATTCCTTTGTGTTTTTTTTTAAAGTAAGACTTGTTGATTATTTTACAGATAGCAGTCATAAGATACTGTTGTTATCTAGATTGGTGATCAGTCCTATGGCATATGTGTAGCGAAGTGAGCAAAACTGTTCAAGAAAAACATTCTTATTTTTAAAAAGTGCCCTTAGCTGTGGCAGAGCCAAAGCAGCAGTGCAAAAGAGAACACTGTTTATTCACTCGAAGATCAAGAGAAAGAGTACCTATTTACACATTTAAATGGTAACCTCAAATTTAATGCAGAGTCTTGAGAGGTGGTTGTCATTTGCGTGGCATTGCATGTAGGGAGAGATGGTGCATGAAGACTGGAATACTGTTCTTTGCAAATTTACTACCTTTCTGAGGATTTGCATGGAGGGTGGTGATGCTGAACTCTAATACCCTTGCTCTCCTGGTATATGGCTATTTTAACTTCAAACCACTTGAGTAGAACAGGCTTGTAAACTGAGGTCTGTAAAGAAGAAACAATGAACTGGAAATGTTTCTTTTTTGATCTACAACTCCTAGAATCTTACTGCCAGCTATATTAGCTAGGCAATTCTGAGAGCTGTAGTCCAAGTGCTGTCTTAAATATTTGTTTTCTCCCTCAGCTTTCTTTCCTATTTCATTCCCAACTTACCCTACAAAAACGATTATGGTGCAGCAGTAATATTTTCAAGTAGATGAGAGAGGCTGAGGTAACTGGGTACCTAACATGGGGTTTGGCCTCCCACTAGAAATACTGGCCATTGTACATAGTTGGGAAGGAGTGTTCCATATGCTGCCTGCATAGATTATCTGTCTTTGTACAAAGAAGCTCAGGATGCTGTATTCTTTTGTTTTCTTTCTTGAATTAGCAGGTTGAAAGGTTGTTTCCTCTTGTACTGTTCAAGTTCTAGAATATTACTGATCTGATCACATCTTTTCTTGAAAAAGTAATTAACGTATCTTTCCATGTACAAGACTATACTTTTGTCTAAAATCTTTTTAGACTAAAAATTTAGGGTCGTCTTATACACGGAAGTAAGCTGAGGAGAGAACAAAAACAAGTAGAGGGGAAAGCAGGAATCAAAGTGATACTGCAGCGCTATGATCCCTTTCTCCCTACACTTGCTAAGCCCCACTTAGATTTCTTACTTTTGGATTAGAAAAGTGGGGGGCATCTTACACATGAGGGCATCTTATACACGGAAAAATACGGTAGGTACTATTTGTGTACTCTTAATATGCATATTTCAGGATTTCATTAGGATCCAATGTTCGTCTTCTTATCCATAATCACTACAGCTCTTTGAGGAAATTCTAGGTGTCTTTAGAAGTAATACAAGCAGGTGAGAACAGGACTGAGCCCATGCTTCTCATTTGAGTCCCAAACTTGACACATTAGTTTGAAACTGTTTATGGAACCAATATGATGTTTCATTCTTTTCTGCCAGCATTCACACCAAATTTTACAGATTTTACAATAATCTGAAATGCTGAATGTGTTAGAGAGAGAAAAAAACCCAAAAGGAGAACAATATGATACTGGTTTGGTGCTGAGACAGAATCCAAACACATTAGGGAGTAGAACATAGAGAAACAGTGTGCTATGGGAATAGAGTGTTAGATTAGGACTCAGAAGATCTGCTTTCAAATCCCTGCTTAGTCTTGGAAATTGCCAGGGGCACATGGAAATAGTAAATCACTATCTGAACATTCAGAAAACAAGGTTTTCTTTTGTGTGTGTGTGTACGTGTGTTTGCTTGATGTAGTTTAAAGAACTTTCCCCCTCATTTCATAAAGCAACAGACCTTTGACAGTGCCAAAGCTGGGTTTTATTTATTTATTTTTCAACACAGCAAGTGACAGAATAATTACACATTATTCAGCAGCACTAGATTCATTACCATTCATTTTTTGTTCTTGAAGACTTGATGGCACACCTGGTCTTCACATGTCAGCTCCTACAACATTAAAACCACCAATGAGCACAGACAGATTCCATTTGCGTTTCTTACAGTCAGTACCTTCTTTCAAAACTCTGGGATAAAACAGCTGAGCCACTGCATTAACAGTGGGGCTGGGCTATTACAAGGAAAAGAGCAGCGTATTTTATGTAACCAATCAGCCAGCAAGCACTACAGGTTGCGGTAATTAGATTTTGACACTTGAATTCGGTTTTAAAAAGGATAAAAATGAAAAATGCATGGAAATTGCTCTATAACAGCGGGACATTGCGTAGTCTATTATTAACCAACATACTGTAATTTATTAAACTCACTGAAGCAATGAGGAAATTGCAAAAAAGAGAGGAGGAAAAATTTAAAAGATAACAGGAGGTAAGTGCAACACTTTGTTTTCTACCCAGTGTCTGCAGAATGTGGACCCTGATTTAGAAGGCTACACCAACTGTTAATAATGTAACCAATGGGATTATTCTAGATAGAAAGTACAGTGGGGTCTTGACTTAAGAACGGCTTGAGTTAAGAACATTTTGACTTAAGAACCGCTCTCATAGGAAAATATTGACTTGACTTAAGTACTTAGATTTGAGTTAAGAACTGAAAAAAAACCCACGTGGGAGGCAGGGAAAGTGCAAAAAGTGAACTTTCAGTTAACTGCTGGCCAGTGAAAAGGGTGCCTGTCTGCTTCCTCACTCCTCCCAGCGTTTAGAGAGTGGATTGGGAGACAGTCTTCAGACTGCCTGGTACTGTACTGCCTGGACTGTATTGTCCCTGCCTTCCCTGAACCTTTCTTGCCCTAAGAAAAAAAGAAACAAAATATCCCCCTCTAGTGGTCGAAGGCGGAATAGCAGCTTCCCATTAGTTTCTATGGACAGAGAAGAGCAGATACGGATCAAATGGTTTTCAATGCATTCCTATGGGAAATGCAGATTTGACTTGAGAACTTTTTGACTTGAGAACCGCCTTCCAATACGGATTAAGTTCTCAAGTCAAGACCCCACTGTACCCAGAAGTGATTTGCCATTCCTTTCTTCTGGGGGTGCTCAGGAACTGTGTAGCTTGGCCAAGGCCACATAGGCTGGCTCTTCTGGGATGCACAGTGGGGAACTGAACTCCCTGTCTCGGGCTCCCTACCTCACCACTGGGATATCCAGCCAACTGGTATTTATCAGGGTCTTAAAAGGGGGGATACTGTGAATTGTACTCCCCTCAATATTAAGTTTTCTCAGCTTGGCCATTAGCAAATCTCATGATAGTGAATAGCTAAGATAATAAAGTCCTCTGTGAAGTTTTAGAATTTGAAGCAACCCTACACAGAAATATCTTCAACTGACACTATTAAAATGCTTGGAATTTAGATAAACAGGGGACCTCGAGGAAACAAATACTGCAGCAAGAACAGGAGCATAACAGAAATCAGCCCTCCAAGGCTCTCCTAACCTCTCAGAAGGCACTGCAAGTCCTCAATGTTCTCAGCAGTTTGTGATCCTAACTATTCTCCTCTCTTCCACTAACAGCCTGCTAGAACTGACTACATCTGGGGTCATCTCTTAGCATCAAACTAGACAATATGCTTAGCATGTATTGAGCAGGGAATATTTAATGTCTGAAAATCTGTGCCACTGTTCCCAGTTTCAGCAGCAGGACTGGAGGTAGCTATTTTTTACATTAAAGATTGTGGGGCCCCCATGCCTTTACCAGGATCCTTAGGGAACCCCAGAACCTAGGGGAAAATCAGGAAGTTTTAACTAGCAGAAAAAAAGGCTGCAGATAATGGCAGAATTTTAGCCAGTAACTACAGTTATTTAAAGGTAATGATGACTTCAGTCGATTTAATTAACTTGTAAGTCAATGTGTTTAGAATTGGGTTATGAAAAGCAATGCAGTTGTAAATAGAGAATACAGGCAAAGGCCTTAGGAATTAAGGAGCTACATCCAAATCTGAGGAGTGTTTATTTTGATAAACTCAAATCTTTCCTTCAATTTCTGATCCACATCTTCTAATGATTTTGCCAATGAAGTGAAGATTCATTCAGTCTTCCAGTAGAGAGCTTTCAAAACTGAACTGGAATGTTGGGTTCACTCCAGTCTTGTCTCACCTTTCAGATGGTTCTTTTGGGTATTGTTATATAAGCTTCCTTTTACCTTCCCCATACTTCACTGACTGCTTATTTTCTTTGTAGGCTCTTGTAGCTTAACTCAGCTTTACTATTTTTCTAGTTTGGACTTCATTTACCAACTCAGCTGCATGAATTCATATTCCCATTCCATGAACCTCGGTGGCAATATATAATATGGTTTACAGACTACCATATGCCCTCTGATTATTTTTGGGAGCTATTTTCTGACTTTTTTCTTTTTCTTTTCTTTTCTTTTCTTTTCTTTTCTTTTCTTTCTTTCTTTCTCTTTCATTCTTTCTTTCTCTTTCTTTTTTTCTTTCTTTTTTCTTTTTGCATTATTCCTTTCACTATCTCTAGGCTCCAGAATGTCATAAATAAGTTAAATGACATAAATAAGTTAAATTGACATGGATGGGCATAAAAGTTACTTTAATCATCATCATCATCATCTTAGCACTGCAGAGCTAGAAGGGACACACACACACACACACGGATCATAAAGCCCAGCCCTTGTCAGAGAGGTACAGCGGGAATTGAACTTCTAACCTCCGGCTCTGCAGTCAGATATCTAAACCACTGAGCTTCTTTTAACTACAACTTCCTGAATCTCCCACTCAGCATGATTATGTTGTCTGAGAAATTCTAGACATTGTAGTCCAAAAATTGAATATTTCAAGGTCTGCTTGGGGTTGTCTTATTTCCTTCTACAAAAGCTCTAACTATAATCTGGATTGAGAATGGTGATAATTAATTGGCCAAATATCACCCAGTAAAACAGGATTTACCATTATGTTTTCAAATCCTCTCAAGACTGTGGATCTGCATATAGGCTGAAACATATAGTGGTGAAAAAGACAGTACTAAAAGCACAGTATTGCATATACTGATAAGAAACAGAGAAAACAAGAATAGAAGAGATGAGGATGCTCAAGTGGTTTCAAAATGAGATTTCAGTACAGATAGGGGAGCAGAATAAATAAAAACAAGACTATTAAAAATCCTCAGAAAAATGACAGGATTTTGCTGCAGTGCAGCCTTTGGCTGTATTTTATACCAGTGATTTCAACTCTTACCAGGTGCAGTTTGTCTCCTTCAATCCATTGTTTCCATCCTCTATTTTTCTTTTCACCTTTCTGCACACAGATTAGTTTATCTCCATCCCAGGTCACTAACGACTGCAAGAATCAAATGATACAATTCAGCAACATCGTATAAATCTGAAATATTTGAAACAAATCTGAAGAGACTAGAAACAAAGTGACACAGTGGTATCATGCAGTCATGAAAATATCACCCTGTCCTCCGGCAAAACTCTTAAATTCGAATGGAAAACCAACAGCATCACTTAAAAAAAATTTATGCTCCTAGTTTCCAGCTATTTTTCCTGACACAATGACCCGTAATGCACATACAAAATAAAAGAATGTAATAAAATGAATTTATGATGGAATTTGTCTACAGAAGGGGAGCACAGTGTGAAATCTGCGGCATTCCATTGTCTCTAAAAAGAAAGCTACAAAAGCATTATAAAACACAGCAGCAAGAAAAGCATAGATCACTTGAAGTAGCACAACATGACACACACACCCCACAAGCATAGTATACTCAGACACTCTTCTCTTTCTGTGGCTAGATGTCATGCGTGTTCTGTCTGCTGTGCATTAAAGTACTTTACAAAGGACAGACCTCTGTTTGGAAAGATCCACTCTTTGAAAGGTTGCTTAATTCCCAAGTATGTTTTGAAAATGAGCAATTGCAAAAAGGGAGAGAAGGAACCTTGAAATTGTCCACCAACACCTTCATGAGCCCCTCAGACACCTTCCTCTCCACTCTGGTAAGATGTACTGTATTTCTTTGGAAATGATGGCAATTATGTCAAAATTTCTATTTAGATAGATATTGGAATATGCCAATTTTACTGAAACTTGCACCATCTTTTCCACCTTTTCTCAATTATGCATTTGCTTTTTTGGAAGCATGTAAGTAGCAATGATAGTTAGCCATAAGGAACTGTTCATGGTGTCACTTCCCTTACACTTCCTTTTTCTCTTGATTTGTCAGTTGCTCCAACACTAGCAGAGAACCATAACTTTACTTGGAGATTTGTGGAAGATAATTTTCAGCATTCTCCACAAGCAACTCTTGTGGAGGGATTCACAGCAATTAAACATCAAGACCACCTGCTGCTAGCCATTCAAATAGGAGTCACCTTCAAGCAGAAGACAATCCTCTGTAAAGTTCAACACGTTACTGGTGGGCTATTCTCCACCATATCCTCTGGTGTAGTGTCTCCCAACTGGGTGTGTGTGTGTGACTCCCCCCAAAGGGGGGGACAAAAGTGTTTTCTAATGAGGAGCAGGTTGCCTTATATGTGTTGTAGCCCTTGTTAAATAATTTCTTCCTTGATCTTTTGGAGTGGGATGTTAAAGTTAGCGTATACGTGTATGTGTGAGAAACAGGCCCTTTGAGAGAGAAAGAAGCCTCTACTGTCTGAGGAAGGGGAGCTTTACCCCATTAAAAATTCCTTTTCATGCAAATGTGATGGTGTGGTCACAGGCTGTTGTAAAAAGGGGCCGTGACTCAAAAAAGGTTGCAAACCACTGGTCTAGTGTATCTCCGCCAAAGATAAGCAACTGTGGCGATCTCCTCTGAAGCCCCTATTCCCTCAGGCCTTCATGAGGTTCTCGCCCTTCTTTCTTTGCTGCCACCAGGTATTGGTGCTTCAATACCATTCAATCAAGGAGACATGTGTGCTTTTAAAACTTAAGTTATTTATTAGATCAGGGAAGTTCATATAGGATTATTACTCAATAGGTAAATCACAGGTTGCCAATCACTTGTATCTAAGTCAATCCTGCTTTAACTTTAAAACTCTATCAACTCTCTGTTCCATTCAGTGTTCTTACAGGGCTCTAACTCACTCTAAGTTCACTTTTAAGTTTCACGCTGTCTCTTACTCACAGAAACCCTCTCTCAGACTCCATACACCAGCCTTTATATACAGTCCTCTCCCCCCTTGGCTCCACCTTCCGTCCTCTCATTGGCTCCATCTCCCCTGTTCTGCTGTGATGGACAGGTGAGGTCGCTACAGCAACTTCTAAGGATCTGAGGTATTTTTTGCCCTTGCCTGAAGTTTGAAGGGTGCACTTTCTGATACTTCCCTCTAATATCCTATGAAGAAAATCATCACCCTCAAATTGCAAGTTGTCCCCCAGAAAGCACTATTGTCATTGTTCTGTGCCATGAATTTCTTCTGACGTACGACAATGCTAGGAACTAGTAACCTTTAAATGGCGCTGTATCAACTACTCTGCTCAGGTCTTGTAATAAGACTTCGGCTTTCTTTAGGGAATCAAGCCATCTCATACTTGTTCTTTTCTTGCTGCCTTCAACTTTTCCCAGTATTATTGTCTTTTCTGGTGAGTTGTATCTTCTAATGATGTGTCCAAAGTACAACAGCTTAAGTTTTATTATTTTCACATTTAGGAAGAGTAAATGAGCATGTGGATGATTGTAGCCTTAGTCTCTAATGACCCATCCTTATTTGTTATTTCTAGGAAATTTGATTTTTAAATAATTTCCTACAAATCTTATTTATTTTTTATTTATTTACAATTGTGGTCACAGGCTGTTGTAAAAAGGGGCCATGACTCAAAAAAGGTTGCAAATCACTGGTCTAGTGTATCTCTGCCAAAATAAAGATAAGCAACTTTGGCGATCTCCTCTGAAGAGGATTTCCTACAAATCTTATTTTTTTTATTTATTTATTTAAAAAAAAATTATCCCACTTTTCTCCTTGAAAAGGACTGAAGACAGCTTACATCATTAAAAGACAATATTTAAAATTGAAAAAAGCAAGTATACAAATACCATGCTAAAAATGGTGAACAAAAGCAACATCAAAAACAAACACATTCAAGGCAGTAAGGCACAACATTGCATTTTAAACCTCCACTCAGGCAGCCAGTCACTGAGGGAAAGCTTGCATGAAGAGAAAGGTCTTTTTCTCCTTGCAGAAGGGCAGCATAGATAGGGCCAGCCTGACCTCTGGTGGAAGGGAGTTCCAAAGTCTGGAAGTAGCAACTGAGTAGGCCCTCTCCCGTGTCCCCACCAAACGAACCCGTGAAGGTGGCAGAACTGAGAGAAAGGCTTCTCTTGATTATCTTAATGCCTGAGCAGGCTCATAAAGGGAGACACAGTCCTAGAAATAGCTTGGGCCCTTTTCAAGCCAATTAATATTAACCCCCCCCCCGCCAAAGAGGAAATTACTTACTCCAGAGGGGAGCAAAAAATTTGAGGGAGGGCAGGCTGCACTGAGGTCCCTGGGACTGCATTTAGTCCATAGGCCACACTTTGCTCAATCCTATCCCACCACAACAAAAACATGCAGTTAAAAAAACACACAAATGAATCAAGAAAGGCTTTTCTACTGAGTAGTAGTGTTGCCACCTATTTGAGGTCTTCTCCCAAGATTAGCACTTGAATGTCAGAAATGTTGAAAGTTTCTTTTTCTTTTCTTTTTCTTTTCTTCATCTTTTATTCTTTTTCTGTTAGTTGTCTTTGCTACAACAATGAGCAGGGGAAAACATGCAACCTGTTCCATCTCTTTACAGAAAAAGTGCAGAGGTGGAGAATGGCTCTCTTAAAAATAATTAATTCTTGCTATTCCTGCAAAAATAGCAGTGAGGTGATGTGGGAATGTTGGGCAGAAATCATCTTGATAAGAAATCAGATAGAATTATAAGAGAAATAAGATGCTTTTTCTTCTCTCTGTCAGATAACAGCAGTGAGATAGGAGGAGAAAATTGAGGTTGCAGAAAGTTCAGGGAAGAGGCAGTTTTATTCCGAGATAGGTTTGTAAAGGATGGTGTTGACAGAGGCATAAGGAGCATGCTGTGATGTCAGGGCATAGAAAGGTCACAGATGATAGGAAAATGTTGGCTATGGATAGCAAGTTTCTTTCCATACTCTTTGGAAAAAAGATAATTAGGTGACCGTAATGTTTGCTATTCTATTCTATAGAGCTGATAGAGAGCCATATGGGCATAGTGTATATTAGATCTCTTTTCATTCTGGTGTCTGCCAGCTACAACCAGAAATAGCACTTAACCCAGAGCAAAAAGTGCCTAGGTTGTCAGAGTCACATGATATTGTAAAATTCACCCTATGCACACAGTGAAAATAGCCAGAATACTGGACCAACCCAAGGACCAAAATCCTCTGGGAACTGTGCAGCATAGTCCAACGAAACATGTATGTCGTATAAAGGATCTTACTGTCTGTCCATCATATATTTGGATATGATTGGGTCACTCGTTCTGTTGCACAGCCTTTCTCAACAGGGGCTCTCACATACTTGTAAGGGGCCAGAGAATGGAAACAATTCTTCACATACCACCTTAAAAGGTTCGTTATACAACTTATGCAATCCTGATTTGGTCTATATTTCTTTCATATGGTGTCTATGGCAAAAAAGAGGTTGAGAATGGCTGTGCTAGACAGACAGCAAAATAGGTAAACAGAGTTTTGCAATAGCATTTTGGCCAGGGTGGCACTGGAGGAAGTCACAAAAGACGCACATTAAAAAGTTGCCACTGCAGGAAAGTTGCCATCATGCTGTAGCCCAGAAGCCTTGATCATTCAGCAGTTGCTTGCATCAGGGAGTGGGATCTGCTGTGACTTATAGAGAGATGTGTATTAACCCCATGGCTGTCAGCTGGGAATATATAACTATGTGGAACCATGAAGAGTTGAAAGCTGATGAAAAAAATAATCCTGTCTTGCTGTCACAAGCCTGAGAAACTGCCACAATTAACATTTAAAAAAATAGTTGCAACAACAGCAGCAGCAGCAGCAAAATCAGAAATGCAAATCATTGCTTCTTTATAAATAAATATTTTTTTAACATTTTTAATTTGCTTTCAACCAGTTTTCTTGAACGTCAAGTGCTGATGTTGACTGCTGTGTAAATGGAAAACAAATCATAGGTTTCTACCTTCACGACTCGGTTGTCAAGCCCCTTGGTGTGCTCTTCAAATTCCTCTCCTACAGTGAAATTCACTTCATAGTTTCTGAAAGTGCTCAGTGTTTTTGTCTTAAAATTGTCTCCCTCTTGAATAATTTCCTTCGTTTGTTTCAGGTGCTTTGCTATCTTTCGGGTAGCAAAGTCAATGTCTGCAGAAAAGACCAAGAAGTAGTCATGTTAACAAAACTTCCAACTAAATCTAAACCTATATTTCTACACAATAAAAGTCACAAATCAGAGAGATTCCCTGTGTCCTATGTGGTGTCCATCATTTTAGGATCCCACTTTCCCCCTAACAATATCACAAATCTGTGCTTTTAAAAAAAAACCTGTTCTTCACCTGAGGTCTTGCTATTCCCTTTGTGAAATTTGTGTGCCATTCAATTTGTGGAAATACTATTAATTGACTGGCATACACACACATTACACCCACATTACTTTTCAGCCAAGAGTTAATTCAATAGAGCAGGTTGTGTGTTGGACAAGAGCTAGAGACCCAGATTTAAATCTCACTTAATTGAAAAGTTCAGTGGGTGAACATGTCAAGCCCCATGGTGCACTCTATCTTGCAGTATATGAAGTATGCATTTATAAGATGATAAAGACACATTCCTTCAAAGGTGGCCTATGCAATGAAGCTATCAGATGACATTCTGTGCTTACCTTGTGGTGCCCAATCACAAAACAAAAAGCAAGCGAATCTGCAACATGCAGAGCAGAAGAGAGCTGATGCTATGATAAATGTCTCCTATTTTTTAAAGGGAGTGTTGCTACTACTGATTAATTCAGTCTAACCGATCTCACAGGATTGTTGTGAGGATAAAAGATGGGGAAGTGTATACAGCAATCACTAACCAGTGGAACATGTCTCACCCAAGGTAAATCGGGATTTTAGAGGAGGCATTAGTTACTTTTAGATTGTCAAGTTCCTTCTGATTTATGGCCATCCTATGAATTAATGACTTCCAAAGTTTCTGTCATTAACAGCCGTGCTCAGCTCTTGGAAACTAAAGATCATGGCTTCCATAGATCTTAAACATATATTCAATATCAGATAATATTTTATCTGTGAAATTGAAAAAAAAAAGATTATTATGACTATTGATTTTTCATTCACAGCTTATTGGTCCAACTTTTATGACACACAGTAATTCACCCACATCCTTTGGTCACTTTCTGAAGTACACTTTGGTGTAAGGTATGACTGTCCACCTGTCCTTAAGGAGCCTCCACAACCCCTCTTGCTTCAAATTCATACCTCCTCTGGCATCAAAAACTAACCCCCTTTCTCAGGGTTAATCCTAAATGGCATGTGGGAAAGGCATTGCCTACCAATCACTTCCAATCGTAGTTATGACAGTTCATATTTCATGTCAGATTTCATTGGCAGAGGCAGATTTGATGTGGATGTGAGGTTTTTATCTTTTATTAAAAAAGGGCAACAGTTAAAAAGGTTAAGAAAAGTAATCAATACAGTTTATTACATAATGTATCAATTCCAATTTGTGGCAGCACCCATAAGATTACAATTGAACCTTAAGAAGCTCAAAATAGTGACTTCAGAAGATTTATCTCTGTTACATGCTACCAAGTCACTTCTGACTAACAGCAGCTCTTCCCAGTTTTGAAGGTATATGAGATATTCAAGGAATAATTAGCAGTTGCCACTACCCAGAATGTTTCCATGATCAAGTCTAGCTTTTAAGCAGGTGTCCTGAGTCCCACTCCAACACTCTATCTAAGGCAGGAAGGCAGGCAGGCAGGAGTCCACTGCACACGTACCTAGTATTTAAAATTAATTAGATCTTATATCTCAGGCATCTGAACTGGGCTGTGATATTTTATTTTGTGAAGATAAACTGAATATGGAAGCCCCATGAATGGAAAGAGAAGAGAAGAGAAGAAACTGAACCATCCCATACAAATCCACAGACATTGTTGTCTCAGATTTTCTAATGAAACTCCCAAATTTGTTTATAACTAGTACAATTTTGCATATTTTTATGCTTATATTGGGCTAGTTAGTCACCTGCATGTCTATCAGTGTTGCACTGCTCAATATTAACTGCTCACTTCTTTTTCCCTAAATGGTGATTTTGATCCTGATGGAGATGGTCTCCTTAAAAAACAAATGAAGAAGAAGGACTACTTATAAGAAAGAATAAAAATAGTGTGATAACTTTTCTGAGTCACCTAATCATTTCTGAGTCACCTAATCATTTCTGTAATCAATGCTGTTTCCTTTCTCAATATATATCATTAAGTATCAGTGATAATCTAGACAAATTCATCAATGAGATTAGTTACCCTATTTCCCTGAAAAATAAGACCTAACCTGAAAATAAGCTCTAGTATGATTTTTCAGGATGCTCGTAATATAAGCCCTATCCCCAAAATAAGACCTAGTTAAGTGAAAACCCACCCTCCATCATTGTGCAGCAACCAGAAGAAGATGACATGACTTTATTTGAATAAATGTAGATTGTTGTATATGAAAATAAAATATCCCCTGACAATAAGCCCTAATGAATTTTTGGAGTAAAAATTAATATAAGACACTGTCTTATTTTCGGGGAAACAGTATAAGGCAAGAGAGCTGTGAACACATCCTTGAACTGTGCCTTTACACCTCAGTCAGCCAGAAGCTTGAGAATATCTGTCATTGTCATGTCCACTTTCCTCTGTAGTAACTACTATATGAAAACCAAGGCCAAGATCATCCACACTATTGTATTTCAAATTACTGTGTATGGGTGTGAAAGATGGACAGTGAAGAAAGCTGAGAGGGAAAAATGCATTCATTTGACATATGGTACTGGAAGCAAGCTTTGCTGATACCCTGGACTGCCAGAGAGATGAAGTGGGTCCTACAGCAAATGAAGCCTGAACTACCTCTAGAGGCAAAGATTATAATAATGTGGCTTTCGTACTTTGGGCACACCATGAGAAGACAAGATTCTCTGGGAAAAAGGCAATAATGCTGGGTAAAGTTAAAGGCAGCAGAAGAGGAAGACTAAATACAAAATGGATTGGCTTCATCAAGGAAGCCATAGCCTTGAGTTTGCAAAAGCTCAACAGGGCTTTGGAGGACAGGACATTTTGGAGGTCATTCATTCACAAGGTCACCGTGAGTTGGAAGTAACTTAGCAGCATGTAACAACGACAACTACTATAGAATTTGTGTGGAACATGGGCACTGAATTACACCACTGAGCATCACATTCTGTTCAAGAAATGTGCTTTACAATCCTTTATGCACATGTTCATCCAAAATAAGACCCACTGAACTCCATGGGGCTTAATTCTCTCCAGAGTTTCGAAGCAACTATTTGCAAGTAGTCATCTTTAACCTGCTTTTTTTGTGATGAAGAGGTAATACAGTGACATTTAAAAGGTTATGTAACCACTAGGAACAAAGTGCCTCTTCAAATGGATGGACTCAACAGAAGATTTAGCCCCCCATCACAGGAAGAACTGTGTTGCCTCGGAGTCTTTTAATAAGCTACAGACTGGAATTGGCAGAATCAGAGCATATCTACAAAAATGGGATTTTGGCATTTGCACAGTCGCTTGCAAGTGCAGAGAAGAACACATTTTCACATCTGTGTCAGTTTACCCTATGTCTCTACATGTATCGTGAAGGACCTCATGCTAACTGCCCCAAATGCTCTTGATTTTGCCTGTTGTTGGGCAGAAAGTATCTGAGGTTCATTAATTAATTATTAATCAACAAATAAAAATAAATAACACAATTGTATTAATTGTAATACAGTTGCTTCTGACATGAACAAAGAAAGAAAGAACCGACTGCCATCCAGTCAGTGGATTGCTGACTAATGGCCTGACCAGATATATGAGCAAATACCATCACAGAACAAGGTGTCCCGACTGCTGGGATACTGCAGGAATATATTGACAGAACTAGAGGAGGTAATACAAACATTTGTGACACAAATGACTACATGCTGTTTATACCAATCGTACATGACCTTCCTTGTTGTGGACAGGGTAAGTGTGTGCAATGGCTTATGTATGTGGAACCTGCCCATCAATATACACTTAAGGGAGGGCTAGAGTTCATTTTGAAAGGATGGCTGACTGTCCATAATACTGCTGAAAACAATTCCCCCTGAAAGATTTTGCATCCCTCTCCCTCAACTCAAAAGGTATTCATGAAGCATAAGTGAGGGCCTGTTGTATACGTACAATCTTTAGAACATTTTTCTATTGTAGTCCAATTCAATCATTATTAAATTGAAAATACCCACCAAAGTAGAGGAGAACATTCTAATTCTGTCCCCCTCTGTTTCTGGCTTTGCATCTCTTATGGTACTTACTCATTGTAAATATACAAAATATAGGGTTACTGAGCTGACCGTTCCTGGGTCAGTAAAGGAGAGAACTTTAACATTGTTTTCTACAAATATTACCTCTGATTCATGCTTCTGTGCCAGACTGCAAGCACAGAGCTTCCTATGAAAGGTACCACACAGGATTCAAATCAAATGTTCTAATTTAATGTTTAGTTTTGGTCAGAACTAGTAGTTATCTTTGCACTTCAACTCTAGCTAGTCTGTTTAGTAGTTCAGACTGAAATTGTAATCCGAAACATCCTCACTAGGAAGCCTATTTTGCTGAGCCTGCTGAGCTCATATCTCAGTAAATCTATTTACAATTGAGCTGTTATATTTCAAAGGCAAAAAGTAATATGGCATAATTCTGCTTTTATATTTACCTAATGCTACCATGTAACCTTCAAAGTTCTCATTGGATTCCATCTCCCAGGTCCCATTGTAATCAGCAGGCATTGTAGCTAGGAGTTTAAATCCAAGGATGACTCAGTTATGGAAGGAAGGAGAGTAATCTGCAAAAAAGGGCATCCTGCAGTTCTGTCCTTTTTATATTTCTTTGGGTGAAGGTTAGGGTTTCCAAGATACTAAAGTCTAAAGGTCAGCAAGATAACATAGGCAGAACTGTATTTTTCATTACCAAGGTTCAGTAGGACAAAACACAGACAGTAAATACACTGCAGAGGCTGGAAGTCAGAAAAAAATGTTTTAAAAGTAACTTTTGTAAAAGATAAAAGATAAAACAGAGTATATTTATGGGAGCACAGCTCTGAAATATGCACTACCCAATGCCAATTCCTCCCATTCGTCAAAACTGTTGTTGTTGCATATATCCTTGAATTCAGAAGTCTTCTAACGCTTATTAGTAGATTTTATCAATACATATAGATCAGGTAGTGCCAATGACACACATAAAAATTTTAGAGCCATAGAGATTACCTTATATGATCTAAATGTAAATTCTACAGGACTTAATTTTGGGGCGGGGATGTTGAAAACGTGAACCACAAGCTTGCTGACATAGTCCTCATCACACACCACCACCCATAAATTTTGTACTATGTTTGTTTGAAAAATAAGATTAAGTACAAATGAAGGAAGGAAGTGGTGCAGAAGGAAGAAGAGGGAACTGGACATGGAAGAGGAACATCATCAGTGTAAGTAGGACCGTGGCAGGCATGTACGTTCACTCATGTTCAGTGAGAATTCCAGAAGCTTCCTGGGAATAATGGGTGCTGATCCTGGCTCTGCCTTTTCCAGAACAAATTTTCTGACAGGGCCACAGATAGAAATTGCTACCCCAGGTAGCCTCTAGAAATCCAAGCAGATAAGTACATTTTCACAGTCCATATTCCAAGTTTTCTAGTACAAATAAGAAATCAGCTTCAATTTAGAAGATGTAGCTGTGTTAGTCTGTGTTAGTATATCAGGTGAAATTAAAAAAAAGTAAAAAAATGTTGTGCCCCCTTAAAGACTACCCGCTCTTAGTCTGTGTTAGTATATCAGGTGAAATTTTTTAAAAAAGTAAAAAATGCTGTGCCCCCTTAAAGACTACCTGCTCTATTTTAATATTAGCTTTCATGGACAAGTCCACTGTCCGAGGAAGTGAACTTGTCCACGAAAGCTCACATTAAAACAGAGCAGGCAGTCTTTAAGGGGAAACTACCTTAGCTTTAATTTGTTCTCATTAAAAGCTGTTGTTTAAGTATCTTTCTAGGTTTCCACCTCCTATATTTACAGGCTCCTCATGCTCTTTGCTTGCTCATCAACCCATGTTCCCTCAGGCCCCATGTAAGCAAGAACATTATGTTACTGCCAGACACTGAACAAAACATAAGGTATGGTCTCTCAATCAATGCTTATAGTTGAATGTTTAACACAACTGATAGTGTCATGCACGGCTCAATGAACTACTATAGTAAAGGAAGGGGCAAGTTGCTTCATAGTTCATTGAGGAGTGCTTCTTTGCAGATCACCTTTCTTATGACCATAATAAGTCTATTCAATAAAATTCTGGGAACATTTGCTTTGTCAGTTGACAGAAACGCTCAGTAGCTTTCTTTGAGATAGAGATAGTACTAAGGTCAACTTCAGATTTCATTAAAGAAGTAACTGCTTGTTATCATAGGTCTCCAGATAAATGTTATTTTTTCCCTGCTGCCTCCAAGCACAAGCACACACTAAAGGAGGGGGGAACGGAATTGTTCTCATAAGATGTTTATGCTTATCAGAAGGACTTTGGAGACAAATTTTAAAATATTCAAAATCATATGGCAAGCTTCATTTGTGGCATTGTGAAGTAATGCAGAAGGGCAGAGAAATCTAACTTTGAGGTGCTTTTCCTAACCTAACTGGGTAACTTCGGATTTCATCTATGCCAAGTACAGAATTTAGAGAAGGTATATATATATATATTTGGGACTAAAACTTGCAGAATCCCAGAGTGAAGTGCAAATAAGCATTTCAATGCTCTGGTTGAATTAGACTCTAAAATCAATACCTTGGCATAAAGTGGAGTTGTGTTGATTATATCCATCAGAAACATAATGTAGTTTTTGGCCCTTATAATTATTTCTTGTTAAACTTACAGGAAGCATAAACAACACAAGTTGACCACGGACGGAGGAAAAAGTTAAGATGGAGGTACTGACATGGAAGAAAGCATGTCTCTAGCTTTGCTTCCTTTCTGCTTCATTTCCTTTAAAGTCTCCAGTTGATTTTGTCAGATTTATAAAGGAATCTGTGAATTTTGAGCATTTTGTAATAAAACAGCAGAATAAAATTTCGAAACCTCCGCTGGCCAACATTCCATGGGTACAGCGATTCCTGATATAGGTAAGATCATCTTCAACCTGCTTTCTGCTAAAGATAAAGAATCTGTCAAGAAGAGGAGGAGGAGAGGCGAGCTTAATAAGTTTTCATCTTTACTGAAATCTGAAGCTGATTTTAGTACTCCATCTGAAAGAAAGCTACTCAGTTTTCCTGTTAACTACCTACCACACTAGAAGAATGGTAGAATGAATACCTAGGGATTCAAAGGCAGACAGTTAAGATCTAAATATTCCTGGTACTTTTATCTTGGTGCCACTTTTGTCAATTTCAATTTCTCTTTTTCTCACATTTGGATTTTTAGAAAGCTTTCTGTCAAATTTATGAAGAAATCTGCAGGTTCTTGAAAGTTCTTATGGAAAAAAAATCAAACTGCATAAAAACTGCTGAAAACATTCCTGTTGGCTGTCATGTGCATAAACTAGGGCACACATGGACAAGAAAAGTATAGTTAGTTATTATCATCAGGTAACAGTGACTAGGTATTTAACTTAGTGAGCGTTTAACAATGTATTCTCGGAGGCTTTCACTGCCGTGAACCTACAACAACCATGAGCAGTTAACCTTTCACTTGTAGGTGGGTTTTGTTTGTTTGTTTGTTTTGTTTTAGTCATTTATACACGATCTTTCATCAAAAGGTAGTGAATAATGCATACTGTAAGTAGAAAAACAAAAGAATGCAGTCACAAAACAATAAAAGGTAGTAAAAAGCATAAAACAAGCTGACTGGTTTAAAATTGCTTGAAGGATGCTTGCAAGGTTGGTGCCATGTGCATAGGGTGCCATGACAGAGAAGGCTCCTACCCCAGTTGTCATACAGTAAGGGAAAAGTACTTCAGGAAGAGCCTTCTCCCTTGATCTTAAGGCAAGGGTCCCCAAATTTTTTAACCTGAGGGCCACACCAGATATTTTCAAGACCTTAAAGGGCTGAAGGAACAGGAACGTGCATGTACATGTATGCGTACACGCATATGTACCCCCACAGCTGCATGCACATACATATGCACACACACATGCACACACTCACCCCCCTGCAGTTGCCCATCCATGCACACAGAGTTCAGAGAATGGGCCAGAGAATACGGCAAGGCAGGCCAGATGTAGCCCACGGGCCGTAGTTTGGAGATCCCTGTCTTAAGGCATAAGCAGGCTGATAGACAGAAGGTGATTCTATTTGTATCCTCATTTGTTAAATATTCTTCAGTAAATATTAGCACCCTAAATTGGGTGTGGAAACAAACTGAAAACCAATGCAACATCTTTAAGATTTATGTCATGTCGTATCCATAGTCTTAATGATCAACAATCTAGCAGCAACATGCTGTTTTTAGACATTCCTTTCTCTTTGTGATGCTAAAATTTCATTCCTCCCTGGTTCCCTTCCTCAAGTGATCCTACTGAATTAAGGATTGTGACATTATTTGATTTGCTGGCAAATCTTAACTGCCAGGCTAGCTTTAAGATATACTGTGCAACCTGTCACCATCAGTGTAGCCAAAACAATTATGAGATTAGCAAAACAATTATGGGCAATGCTTATTTTTTCATATTACCCTCACTGAACAATCATATGTTTTATAAACAACAGCTTCAACATGACTATGTCCACACTGAAGTCTTTGCAAAATAAAAAATAAATAAATTATAGAGTATGTACAGACATAATTATCCTTACTAGGCAAGATGGCTAAAGGAAGCTGTGTGTTGAAACAAGGCTTTGTTGTTTAGTCATTAAGTCATGTCTGACTCTTCGTGACCCCATGGACCAGAGCACACCAGGCCCTCCTGTCTTCCACTGCCTCCCGGAGTTGGGTCAAATACATGTTGGTAGCTTTGATGACACTGTCCAACCATCTCATCCTCTGTCATCCCCTTCTCCTCTTGCCTTCACACTAGGCTGCCTGAAGTTAAACTGAACCAAACCTCTCCCACCTGAAGGATGAGGTAAATTAGTTAGGGCCATTAGCACATCAAGAAGCAATTAACGTGGATTCAGCCACAGGAAATAAAGATGGTTAGCAGAGCAAATTTCCTCCTCTGTTTTCTAAGGAAAAAAAAGAAACCAAATATTTATTAGAAGACTAGCTAGCTAAGTGGAAAGGCAAGGAGTTCTGGTGCATAAGAACAACACTGTGGCTCAGCCTTAGTGACAGAAGACAACAAACACATCCTGTTTCATCAACATGACACTGCTGAATGAAAAGATAAACACTATTGTTAACTGGATTCACAGAAGCTTATGATGTGTGGGATAATATCAGTTCTTTGCTTGGTACAAGTTCAATTTAATGTGGGTCACTGCTACAGAAGGATAGCAGGTAACATGTATAAGTTCTAATATTTACATCATGAAGAAAAGCTTTAAAAACTGACTATAATTAGCAAATGGAAGATTGAGATAAAGAAATAAACATTGAGATATGTAAAAAGACAAAGCATTGTTGCTGATCATATTAACTAATCATGAAAAAAATTGACAATTAGCAAGAAAATGAAATACTGCCAATTGAAACAGACAGTTTTAAAGTAGAGGCTGGATGAAGCTCAACAATATTTAACAAGTCCGCTTCTGAAGAAAAAGAAGGGGGGAATGGGATTGGCAAAGGCTGGTTTCCCCTCCAAAGTCGCAAAAGTGTACACACCAAGGAGGAAGCCATCTTGACAAAGGGCTGGGAACACTCTAAGCAAAGAATGAGAGAGCACAAAAG